AGACACATGATTGGTTGCCTCCCGCACATGCCCCCGCCAGGGCCTAGTGCCAGGATGGAGCCTGCAACTGAGGTACTAGTAAGTGCCTTCGACCAGAATCAAACCTGGGACTCTTCAATCTGTGCATCAACACTCTAACCACTGAGCCAAGCTGGCTAGGGCGCAATTGTGTCTTTTATTTATTTATTTATTTTTTTAAAAAAAATATATTTTATTGATTTTTTACAGAGAGGAAGGGAGAGGGATAGAGAGTTAGAAACATTGATGAGAGAGAAACCTCGATCAGCTGCCTCCTACACACCTCCCACTGGGGATGTGCCCGCAACCAAGGTACATGCCCTTGACCGGAATCGAACCTGGGACCCTTCAGTCTGCAGGCCGACGCTCTATTCACTGAGCCAAACCAGTTAGGGCGCAATTGTGTCTTTTAGAAATCATTTCTGATCCTGAAATAATAATGTGAACATATGAAGAAAAGAGTCAAGTTTTAGAGAAAAGTGAGGTTCTCAAAACACATTTTGATCTCACCTAAACTAACCTCAAACCAGACTTAACCAACTACTGCAGGAAAACAGTTGCTGAGAAATATAAAGGAAATCCTCACAGGGACTGCTATATAGTCCCCAGTTGTTTTCAGTAACTAAAGACAAAGGGGTTTTGTGATCTGGCCAAACCGTGAATCCAGGGTACAAAGTTCCTTCCGGAAAACAAGCTACTGAAACCTTTCTTCTGAAACACAGTGGGCTTCCCGAAGAGCATCAGGCGTCGTCACACAGCGCGTGTGAAGTGGGCAAGTGCGCAGCACAGGAGCCCAGGGAGTCAGCTGCAGGCCGAGACCACGGGTCCTGCCTCAGAAGGCCAACCCCGAGCTGGAGGGTGACAGTGGAAAACAAAATTATAATAACAGGTACACTTGTTGAAACATTTCAGACTTATTGAATCTCAAATTCATTTCCTGGTAGTGGGATTTGCGATTTAGCCTTGACCACCTCACATTGGCCAAATGTGTCTTCCATGCTCTTCATTGCCATTCAATAGCTGGCTTGGTGCTGTGAAGCTTCTTGAAGTTCAGGGTCAACAGCCCCCACCCATTTGGCCCCTCCCATTCAGCCGCCCAGTGTATAGGCAGCCCTTGGCCTTGAGGGGCCTTCTGAGTCAAGGCTGAGGCTGCACCCCATCATCCAGGTACCTGTCCCCTCCAACCAGGAGATCTCACCACTGCCACCAAAGTGGCTTTCCTGGAACACACAGAGGCCTGAAAGGACTTGAGTCTGGATTTCCTGCTCTCTGCCCTGCCTGGCACCCTCCCTTCTGCCCTTGGCTCCACCCAGTTCCCTGGACCCTCTGCCTTCCTGAGGGTCTTGGGTCTCACCTCTTCCTGGTGAAGCCTCTGTGCCTATCTGTGAAGGCGACCAGCAGGGCCCAGGTTGAGAGGGGCTGTGGGCAGAGGAGGAGCCACGAAGGGTGGGGAGTGGGGTGGCCCTGCCCCCCAGCGCCCAGGCCCCGTCTGGCAGCTGGCATCAGCCTCCTGCCCACCCACCCTCACACCTGGACATGCTACAGAATCTTCTGGGTGCACCAGTTCCCCAGTTCCACATAGTTGCCCGCCAGCTCCTGGTTTGCTTCCACCAGGTTGAGCAGCATCATGGGCACCACCATGGACTCCTAGGCTGGGGCCCCTGGGAGCCAGGGCCGGGCCAGTCCCGATGGGTCTTTCCGCACCCAGTGGACGATCTGATCCATCATCTCCACAGCTTCACTCTGGGTGAAGCGTCCCGCCGGGGGGGGGGGGAGGAGAGGGGAGGCCCAGGCTGAGGCTACATCCCATCCAGCCCACCCACTCACAGGACACCTTTGTCCACCCAGGGCCCACTCCGGGCCTGGGCCCAGGTTGGGTGTGGGGGGCCAGGGTGGATCTGCCCCACCCTGACTCAGAGGCTCCCAGTCTGGGGGTATAGGCCACTCCCAGGCAGTGAGGTTGGGTCTGAAAGCACAAGGGGCCCCAGGAGGGAGAGGCCCCCTCTCAGCCAGGGCAGACCATGGAGGTCCTTGAAATGTAAAATTAGCAGGACCTGAGCATGGAGGGAGGGGGATTAGTTTGCTAGTATTGTGTTTGGCTCTGTAGTTTTTAAAATTGAAGTGTAACCAGTACCCACTAAAGTGCACAAATCCTAGGAATCCAACTTGGTGAGAATGTAGGTGCCACTTGTGGCGACATTTTCACTATGTCTGCCTTGCTCTGGCATTCTGTGCTTGAGGGCAGGGATTATGTCATTTGCTTTTGGAGCTTGGCATACAGCAGGTACTCAATTAATGCTTATGAAGCTTGGCATACAGCAGGTACTAGATAAATGCTTTTGGAGCTTGGCATACAGCAGGTACTCAATGCTTGTGGAGCATGGCATACAGTAGGTACTCAATTAATGCTTGTGGAGCTTGGCATACAGCAGGTACTCAATTAATGCTTGTTGCATGAAGGTCAGGAAATGGGTAAGGGTGAGGGACACAGGATATTTGTGACCCAACTTGTCTGAAAAAAGTGAGGGGGGCATGTTTTTAAATTATATATTTAAATATATTTTAATTAAAAGAATAATAGGTGCTCAGTGGAGACAAAATTCAAAGAGCTCACAAATGTATAAGTCCTTAGTGCCCAAATCCAGAAGAAAACCGAGTACCCTCACCTCTGTTAATGGTGAGCAGGGCATCCTTGCCCACGTTTCTCTTCTTTTCCTCATCACCAGTGTGATGGTGTTAGGCCAAAATCATTTTTTTTAACAAAATTTTTGTTAATCCTCACCTGAGGATATATTTTTTCCCCCATTGATTTTTAGAGAGTGGAAGGGAGGGGGAGAGACAGAGAGAAATATTGATGTAAGAGAGACATCGATTGGTTGCAGCGCCAGTGCCGTGACCGGGGCCAGGGATCAAGCCTGCAACTGACGTACATGTATGTGCCCTTGACCAGAATTGAACCTGGGACCCTTCAGTCTGCAGGCTGACACTCTATCCACTGAGTCAAACCCGCTAGGACAGGCCAAAGGTGTATTTCAATGTGAGGCTAGAGACAGCCCCAGCTATTTGAATGAAATACATTTCAGCCCAGGATTCCAAAGATGAACTGGGCCACAGCAGAAACTCTTGTAGGGGCTGGTGACTGTGGAATCCTGAGGCTAATGGGTTGGGAGGATACTAAGCTAAAATGCAGTGAGCTTCAAAGCAGAAGCCCCCCTTTCTATCTGCATGCCTGTCATGGACTGCAAGTGTCACCCCGAAGTTCATACATTGACATCCTAGCCCCCAAGGTGGTGGTATTGAGACATGGGGCCTTTGGGAAGTGATTACATCATGAGTGTGGAGCCCCCATGAAAGGAATTTGTAAAAGAGACTCCAGAGAGCTCTCCTGTCTGTTCCATGTGGGGACACTGCAAAATGACAGCCATCTATGAATCAGGAAACAGGTCCTCACCAGACACTGGCTTTGCCAGCAACTTGATCTTGGACTTCTAGCCTCCAGAACTGTGAGCAATAAATGCCTGTTGTTTATAAACCACCCGACTTATGGTATTTTCATTATAGCAGCCTGAACAGATTAAGACAATGCCAATAGTCCCTCCCAGGTGGGCCACAAGCTGGACTGAAGTGGGTTGGGGCAGAGGGTCGTGCTTGGGAGAATGGACTAGGGCAGTGATGGCGAACCTTTTGAGCTCGGCGTGCCAGCATTTTGAAAAACCCTAACTTAACTCTGGTGTCGTGACACATATAGAAATTTTCTGATATTTGCAACCATAGTAAAACAAAGACTTATTTATTTTATCTATTTAAATGCCATTTAACAAAGAAAAATCAACCCCAAAAATGAGTTCGCTTGTCACCTCTGACATGCGTGTCATAGGTTCGCTATCACTGGACTAGGGCAACAATGTTGGGTTCAGGGGATTGTGAACCCTCAGGCCAGCAAGACTCGTGGGGAGGGGGTGCTCAGAGGAGGGTGATGTTGGAGAAGCTACTGGGCTCCAGAAGGCAGTGGGCTCTAGAACATTCTCAAACCCCTACTAGAGGCCCACAGGGGGTCCTGAGAGAAAAGCCCCAGGCTGTCCCCTCCCCTGGGGTCTGGTATTAGGTGTCCAAGTGGACCTGTGGCCTTAACTTTTGTCAAACCAAAGCTTGCCAGAGCAGAGTTTGCATGTTTTCAGGAAAAATGGGTAGAATTCTCAGTAGCAAGCATATCATGAAATCGGCAAAGCAAATGAATGATTCTTTCCAAACATGTGGCTTGCAAGCAGAGTTGGCTGGGCTGAAAATGGGGCAAGGAGCTATCACATCCCTTGCCTAGAAGTTGGCAATTGACAGCGTGATGAGGAGGGGGCCCTGGAGGAAAGATGGCACGGTCCTTGCCTGGGAGCCTCCAGGGAGACTGGGTGGGTGGGGGGAGTCATGCTCTATTCCAATGTTGCTCTCTCCTGTGGGGGTACATTGTGGAGCACAAGGGTCCAACCCAAGCACTCTGGAGCCTACTCTGTGCTTGCACTTCCAGGACCAGATAACTGACTCCACAGCTGGGCTGTTTGTACTTGGAAGGGCCAGGAAGCCAGGGTCCTGTCCTCATTACCTGCCTTTTATGAGGTAATGGTCATCAGAGAGAGGGCCAGCCACTGGCCACCAAGAGGACTGACCTCCCCACTCCTGTCCTCACCCAGCCCAGAGGGGCTGGCCGATTCTCAAATCCCAGAAGTGATTTGTTACCCCATTCCTTAGGGGAGGAGCTTAGGGTCCAGCCTGGTCTTCTGCTCCCACCTGGAATTGACTAGAGGAGCCCCTTCTGCCAAGGGGGAGCTCAAACTTCCAGGAAAACCAGCCCTCCCTCATCAGAGCATCTCCTCTCCCCTCTGAGTGTCCAGCAAGTGGAAGCCAACATAGCACCTGCACCCCAGAGTGTGGAAAAGGCCAGGGAAGAATTGATAAACTAAGTTTTGACAAAATAAGTTAAGGAGACCAAAGCCATTTAACATATATTTATTGAAATCTACTTGATGCAAGGCACTGTGCTAGGTCTGGTAGGGGAATAAGACATGAAAGACCACCCCTGTCTTCTAAGAGCGCACAATCTAACGGGTGGGGGAGGCGGGAGGGCGAAGCTCTAGTGCAAGGCTGATTATAGTCAAGTGCCATAAAACAGACAAGTTATGGAGATTGGGAGGAAGGAGAAAAGAGTGCCAACAACCAAAATACGAACTGGGGTGGGACATAGCTACTGTTCTTAGATATGCAAATACTGCTGAAGGCCCAGTTTAAAGAGACCATTTCTACTTTTGAAAGTAAACACCCAAACTGATGCAATGACAATTACAGAATGTAAATATACAGAGTAACAGAGAAGTTATCGATTCTTTGTCTGATGGATTTGCTGGAAGTAGGGAAACACTTCCAAAAGCAGGAACATGGTGGATGGGGCAAACTTGGGGTCAGTACAATAATGATAATCAGACAGAAAAGCATTGGTCAAATGCACTGATACTAGAAGGCATAGATTTTTTTAACCCATCTTAGCAAAGAGAAAACGGTACCACATTTAAATGGGTGTTTACTATAGTCAGGGGGGGACTTGGGTCAGGAACTCGGACCATGTGAACATAAGGAAAGCCAGTCACGTGATGCTTCTCAGGAAGCAGCCAAATGATACATTGGCTCTTGACAGATTGCAAAAAGCAGAGACCCACTCAAGCTGGTTTGGTCAGGGAAGTCTATAGTGGAGGGCAGTCCTCAGAAATCCAAGAACATGAGACCAGGCTTTCCCCAGGGTGCTGGGATTGAAGCATCTCTGCGGCACCTAGCAGGAACCCATAGATCTTCAAGCCAGTGCTGCCCAACTCCTCTAAATGCGGAGTGCTCCCTCTCTATTCCAACACCAACTAGAAACTTCTCACTTCCTTGTTTGCAGAACCTGAAAGGCCTGGCCTATCATCTCCAGCCAGCTCTGATGACCAGTTGCTGCCCATGAGTCACGTGGTTAGTTGTGGTTGAATGAATGTGGCCTAGAAGAGGGGTGGGAGTCACATGGCACACAACAGGGCCCAAGCCAGGGGCACTGGGAATGCAATACCACATGAACAGGATGCCCACTGTGATCGGGTGGGCTCACTGTGGAAATCTAAGAGTGGGTCTGACACAACTAATCAACACAGCTAATCTCAAGCAGCAAAAATCGTAAGCAATCGCATTTTTGGGAAAATTTCAGCAAGTATTCAAAACTTTAATAAAAGCAATGGAGGCTTTCTTTCAGAATATACGAAAAGGATCGATTTCTAATGAGAACTAACATTCTATGTAACCCAACTGCTCTTCGTTTCCCTTGCAAAAGGTCTGTGTGATTAGAAAGAAAAGTGAAATGAGGTAGATACACAAATGCATAGACAAGCACACACGACAGAAAGCTGGATCACATTTTGCATCTGACGTAGTAGTATACCTAGAGAATCCTAGGAAACCCACCCCCTAGTTGCCAGAGGCAAAAACGGAACTCGGGGCAACTACAGGACCTATGTGAAAGCCACAAATTGATTGTTTGGAGCAAACACAGCGATGGAAAAGATGCGGTATTTAGTGTTAACTCAGGAAAAGGGTTTCTTTGAGAGGAAATTAGAGAACCAGGAATGGAAAAAAGTAAAGGAGGGCATGACGGGATGGCAGGACGTCGTGTCCCAGCTGGGGAAACAAGGCAGTGTTGATGATGCTAAATTCCGAGTTAGTACTGCATCTGGATCCTTCAAGAAACCCGACAAATGCCTAGTGAATGGGCAAGAAATGGCGGAGTACTTGCAGGTACAGGTGCCAGATTGTCCCCCCACCCCATGACATCACCATTCCTTACCAAAGGACACTTGTATCAAACACGTCATAACAGCTTGAAAAGAGAAAAACTGCTGAGAGAAGGAAGTAGCGATCTCAGACACAGATTCACGACTACTGCGAGAACTGAAGCCCACAGAGCAAAAGGAATTGCTATGTAACAAGTGCTGTCGGCGGATCTCCAGCCTGGGGCTCAGGATGGAGATGTCGCAGACAGCCACTGGTGTGGCCTGGCGGCCATTCCAGAGTACCTTCTGGCTAAGGTCACAGGGGTCACTGTGGGACCCTGCTTCCCAGGATGGGAAGTTCCGCCTCAGCTTTGGTGGGCCCATCAGAAGGGCACACTTCCTCTCCAGGCCCTCTAGTGCCCCTCCTGCTGCCTCTGATCCTGGGCACAGCTGCTGGGAAGCCACAGCTCGTGTGGCTGGCTTCTCCCTGTGGGCTCTGCAGGAGGGGCCAGGCTGCTGGCCAGCCCTTGCTGTTATTCCTCCTAGGGAGGCTGCTAGAAGTAACAGCCCAGCCTCAGAATGACCAGCTTTTATTTCTATGCCACACGGGCCATCAGAAGGGCATCATTGCCCTCCAAACCCTTGTTTTGTTGCCCCTTCTGGGCGCACCTGCTGTAAGTCACAGCCCAGGCCCGTGTGGCCAACTTTGATCACGGAAACATGCAGGCCACCAGAGGGGCACGGTTTCTCTCTGAGACTTTGCTCTGTTGCTCCTCTCAGGTGTGGCTGCAGGTGACATCAGAACACGCGGGTGAATTTCCCCCTCGTTACCAAAAGTAGAAGCCACCAAACTGACTTCTTTCTTATTCCAGAGTCACTTCCTAAGAGGAGGATGCGATTCACGTGACATCGTCAGGTGAGTCTTCTTGTGTTGGAGGAGATGTCTCTTGGGTGGATCTGCTACTCAGGCACTGAATCCACGCCAGACATGGCCAAGGCTCCCAGGAGTCCAAAGGATGGCCAGCTGTTGCCAAGAACAAGTTGGGACCACCCCATCGATCAGGTGAGGTCCAGCCCTGCTGCTGATGGCTAGGGCTAGACTGAGGAACAGTCAGTGTTCTGGCCAAGCTGTGATGGAAGTTTCTCTCATGTGCCTGAGTGGCCAGGTTGGATAGTCAAGTACTGCCTGCAGACATGCGCAGAGTCTGCGTCTTGGATGAGGAGCGAGCCTGCTTCTCCGGCCCATTCCCATCCAGCCTGCCCGCTTGGAACATTCGCCTTCTGGTGGGGCAGGGCTTTCAACTTTTCATTTGTAGTTAAAATTCTAGAACAAAATGTCATATCTAACTACTCAACCAATGAAAATTACGACTTAACAGACAATGAATGCTTGGATACGTAAAAATTAAAAGCTTACATAACAAAAAGTATAATAAAACTGCTACAGAGAACAAAGCAATAAAATTGAAAGAGATCGTCATAATCGATATAGAAAGAACTTCTGTATAAAGTCAATATATCCAAAGGTAACTTGATAACTGGTCAAAGGAGATGAACGTACGATTTGCATGCAAGAAAATGGAAACAGTATTTAAGTCACTGCATGAGAAAGAAGATGAGACTAGGAGTCAGAAGGCCTGGGTCCATCCCCAGTTCTGGTACTAATGAGCTATAGAATGACAGCAATAACTATGACGATGACAGCAGATGCCCTTCACTGAGTGTCTCTCCATTCAGGGCGTGGTGTCACAGTCCTCACCATAACCCCAGGAGGTAGTCCTGTGATCATCTCTGTTATAGAGCCGGAACTGAGGGTTGAGAAGTAACATCTAGGTCCCATTAGATGACAGGCAATTGTTCTCGAAAAGGAGGTGTCACCTTATACTTGAGTCCTTGATGTCCCTGTTACTATGGGGATGCTCTCTCAACTACTTGATTTTGAACAAGATAGTGCTGCTAAGGACGACTCATTAGCCTGAAGCAAACTCCAACCATGGTAGTTTTGTGTATGAGTGGGACTCACCAGATAGAATTGATTTCAGAAAAAAGGACACAAAAGAAATGGAACCTAGGAGTATGACCTCACAATGACAAGTTTTAGATGCTTAAAAGGCTTTGAAAGGTCATTTAAAAAAGGAACACCTTGAGTGGTTATATTGTAAAGTTATGAGACAATTTTTAAAAACAACTGTCCTAATCTTACATGGACACGTACTTATGATTTGGGAGGAAATTTCTAGTGAGAGCCTTGTCACAATGCTACATGGAACACAGCTCGAATGGATGGAAACCATTTGATGTGCTTTGAAACTGATGACTCAAAAGGGGCTCCAAGGCTAGTGAGGTCAGAAATGCACGTGAGGAGTTAGAACAAAATGATATGGAGCCGAGTGTGGGGGGGAAAGGGGAATATTTTCTAAATTAATATATTATTCTATATAATATGTGATTTATAATATGTATGTGTAACTAAATAAGTTAAACATTATGACACATTTGAGTATTCTATTTACATCCCTAAAAATTTATAGATTCAAGTAGGCCAAAAGACTTTGGGGCAATCTTTTCTTCGGGAAAGTTGGGCTCACATTATGTTGACACCATCACTGAATAGCTGTGTCAGTTTCCCTGAGGTGGGAGCTCAGAGGGGAGGACCAACAAGCCACCCTCCAGCCCCACATCCAGGTTTCTCCTCACATTCTCAGATTCAAGGCCTGCAGATTTAAATACCTTGAAGATATCTGATGCCAGATAAACTAGCTGAAATAAATTAAAATGGACAAAGCTACTCTCGAGAGGCAAAATGGGAAATGTACACTTATAAATTGCTGGTGGCAGTATAAATTGGTTTCAACCTTTCTGACAATAAAATATATAAGCGCTACAAAACTGTTCATCTCCTTTGACTCTGCCATTCCACTCTAGGCTGGGGGATTGTAGGGGGAACAGGGACCCATGGACAGACAAGGGTCTGCGGGCCTCATCTACTCATGATGGGTTGGCTGATGCTTCTGCAGCGAGGATCGCCTCTTGAACACGCGGCCACACTCACTGCACTCACAGCGTTTGGCTCCACTGTGGGTTCTCCGATGGCGACTCAGGCCTGAGCTCCTCCGGAAGGCCTTCCCGCACTTGTCACACTCGTAGGGCTTCAGTCCGCTGTGGATCCGCCGGTGTTTGATCAGGTCGGAGGGGCCCCGGAAGGCCTTGCCGCAGTCGCCACACGCGTAGGGCCGCTCGCCCGTGTGGATGCGCTGGTGCTCCAGGAGGCTGGAGCTCTGCCTGAAGGCCTTCCCGCACTGGCCGCACTCGTATGGTTTCTCGCCTGTGTGAATCCGCCGATGCTTAGTGAGCTCTGAGCTCCTCCGGAACAGCTTGCCACAGTGGGCACACCCATAGGGCTTGGCACCGCTGTGGATGCGCTGGTGCTCGGCCAGGCCATTGACCCCTCGGAAGGACTTGCCGCAGTCGTCACAGTCGAAAGGCAGGTGGCCGGTGTGCATTCGCTGGTGCTTGAGAAGCTCTTGGCGATCCAGGAAATCCCTGCTACAGGCCTTGCAGGCAAAGGGCTTTTCTGAAATATGCAGCTTCTGATGGCGAAAGAGGTGGGTGTTCACTTTGAAGGATCGCCCACACTCCTCGCAATCAAAGGGCTTCTCTCTGCTGTGGACACGCAGATGTTGACTAAGGCCTGCGTTCTTCTTAAACCTTTTCCCACATTCCTCACACTCGAAGGGCTTTGCCTCCTCCTCCATTTGCTCCCTCTTTTCCGTGGCATCATCCAGGGCCTGGCTTGGGCCGGGGCGGGGCTCTACAGCCACGTGGCTCTTCCGGTGCTCATTGAACTCAAAGACCCCCCTGAAGACCTTCCCGCAATCCCCACACTCCCAGCCCTTCTCCTCACTGTGAATTCTCTGGTGCTGCACAAGGAGGACCTTCAGCCGAAACGCATCCCCACACTCTTTACACGCAAAGTAATGCTCTACAGGCAGATTCTGGGGGTTCCCTCCCCTCCCCTTAGAGTCCCCATTCTGTTTGACCTCAGGTTTGGGCTCACTGGCCCTCGAGGAGCTCCTGGATGCCATCTCCTGTGGTTGGGCGTCTTCACCCTTCGTCTGGTGTTGGGTCGCCAAGATGCTTTCTGAAATGAGAACCACAGACACTGCAGTCCGTAAAGGAGGGAGGAAGGAGGTTATTCTTTGTTAAGAATCGCTTTCCTGCCCAGCTGGCGTGGCTCAGTGGTTGAGCGTCGACCTATGAACCACGAAGTCATGGTTTGATTCCTGGTCAGAGCACATGTCCGTGGTTATGGGCTTGATCACCAGTGGGAGGTGTGCAGGAAGCAGCCAATCAGTGATTCTCTCTCATCATTGATATTTCTATCTCTCTCTCCTTTTCTCTCTGAAATCAATGAAAGTATATATACATTTTAAAAGAATCGCTTTCCTCCTGAGACAGCTGCAGAGCACTGGGCCTGGGGGCCACCGGGTCAGGACAGCTGGTGCTCATCCGACCAGAAGCAAGGACCATAGAGGGAAAGGGTAGAAGAGCCTGATAGATCGTGCTTCCTACCAAAGTGGGCCCAGGGAGGGCTCCCCTTCTGTGACTGAGCAGCAGCCACATCCTTTTCCCAAAGACTCAGCTGGGCTTCCCCCACCATTTCCTCACATTTCTTTAGGATTCTTTTTCACTCACCAGAATACGTAGCTCGATCCGCGTTAAGGGTCTGATACCAATAGTGCGTGTCCTGGCACCCAGTGAGAGTCTAGGCAGGATTCAAAACAGGAAATCCTGCTCGTGGGAAAGGAAACGGGTTATGGCAGCGGCCAGAGATGGCATCGGAAAGAGCACAGAATAAGCAGGGACTTCAAAGGGGAACCTCCTTCAATTCTCAAAGTCTAGGTTGGCTGTGACTTTCGGAAGTCGTTCGTCCATTTCGAATGCCTTCCCCAATGGGTCACTCCTGCCAGGGGCTCGATGAGATGGCTCTGGGCCTGCTCCGTCGGGGTGGCAAGTGGTTGTCCTGGGAAGTGAACCCTCCCTTTCTCTATATCCACCCCCTCGGGGCCCCACACTGAACTCCATGCTCTTCCACAATCCACACGTGACTCCGGCGTCTCTCTTCTAAGAACCCTCACTACCTCACACATCAGTGTGATGGTGAACAGGAGCTTGCTGTTGCCAACCTTGCTCTCGACAGTCAACTATAATGAAATGGCCATGCAATTTGTATCATTTGTGAGATTAATTAATTATAAATTACAGTGGCACATGTATTTCAATTTCTTTTCTAATAAAAAACTGGAGAGGAGCCTATCTATGCCATTAGAAGTTGCGGGGAGCCCTGCGAGAAATCGATTGTAACAGACCCTTGTATTTTCTTACAGCCCATCCCTAGGGGGCACAAGCCCCTTCCATCCCACTCCTGCTGCTTAGGATCATGAAGCTGGTGGAAGGGCTAGGCGTGTCCTTACCCACAGAAGTCACGTTGCCGTAAAATGCCAGCGTCCTCTGCTCAGGGTCCAGCCTCAACCACTCCCTTTTTGTGAGGTACTGTGCCACGTCACCAAATATCAGTGAATCCTGAAAGAATTAAAAAGGATCATCAGTTCTCCCATCCATTCTAGAATGAGGTAGAGGCAGTCCCAGTAACAACAGGGACATGAGGTGAGGGTCTGGAGTGGGTGTGCCCTGCTAACATGGAGATCTACGCGCAAGTGTCGAGAAGTCCTAGGAAGACAACCTGACCATGTGCCAGGAGACCTGGGCCACGGCACTGGCCTCCCAAGGGACCTTGGTTCAGTCCCTTTCCTGGATTGAAATTTAGCTCCCCCAGTGGTATGATGGGGATTACAAGCCCAGTGGGCATCCATTCCTTGGCAGAGCCCAGGGAGAGAAGCGGAGGGAGGGAGAAATGAAGGGAGGGAAGGCAGCAGCTGAGGTCCAGGCCCTGCCTTGTGTCATGCTCGGGCAAGAGGTGAGGCTGAGGCTAGAACAGGGAGGAGTGACAGGCAGAAGACAGCACAGCTCCCCTGGGCCTCTAGCATCTCAAGATGGCCTACTAGGACCTGTTTTCCCCAGCTCTATCCCGGGGAAGGGCAAGACCCTGGTGGGGGGCGGGAGCAGGCAAAGTTAAGGGAAGTGAAAAGAGCTGTGAGTGACAGCAGCCCTGGGATGTCACTGGCAACTTCCTTTCCCCTGGTTTTACATATTGTTGAGTCTTCTCTTGCACAGCCGCCGAATGACAAGCCACAGCCTGGGTAGGCCTAAGAAAACATACCCCAAGCAGTGGGCAAAGTGGACTAAGAATGAATGCAAGCAGGCCAGAGGGAGCCCTGACAAGACAAATGAATGGTAGCCCAGGCACAGCCGGGAGAAGACAAAGACGGAGGGCCGATGGCGGGGAGACTGGCTCTCAGCCACAGGCCAGCCACAGGCCTCCCAGCAGTGAGCCTTGAAGAGGTCAGTGCCCACTTACACTGCACAGGAAGAAAGCGTTACCCGAAGAATATCAGAAGAAATAATTTAGGAAGTGAGAGATTCTTTCCAACTGTGTAGGGGCAACAAAAAGCCAGATCGGGCCACTGGAGAGAAGAGAGGCAACGAAGGGCAGGAGGCAGGGCTTTCTGCCCAGCGGCAAGGCCTTTATTAGCCACCTCCCACCCACTGAAGCAGTGCGCCAGGTGACCATGAGTCAGCCACAGACAAGAACACTTGTGTGATACATTGGACAAAAGGGAGATTTTTAAAAAAAGCTAGAAAAAGAAGCATCAAAGAAAATATCTTCAAGCACTACCTTGCTAAATTAATAAAAAAGGTCTGAATAATATATATGTTACCTTTTTCTCCCAGGTTGCAGAATAGGTGAAAAATTACAAGATGCTACCACAGACGTGCGCATCACAGGCCTCCCACTTCCGTGAGTTCAACGAAACAGGAGCATGGTGTCTGTTCTGATGCCAGGTCAATTCCATTCCATTTATAATTAAATGAAAAGGAAGCATTTTTACACCAGCTCAAGGAGTACAAAGCCCAGATACTCCAGCTGAAAGACTTACATAAAATTCGATGCTATGTTAAAAGGACGGATGGAGATTTCCACTTCTGGCTGTGATGGAATAACAAGGATAGACTTTATGTCCTGCCATAAACAAGCAGAAAACTGTATAGAATAGATGTAAGGCAACAGGATTTTTTTGTTATTGTTGTTAATCCTCACCTGAGGGTATTTTCTCATTGATTTTTAGAGAGAGTGGAAGGGAGAGGGAGAGACACACAGAGAGAAACATCGATTGAGTTGCCTCTCGCACATTCCCCAACCAGGGCAGGGATTGAGGCTGCAAATGAAGTCATGCCCTTGACCAGAACTGAATCCAAGACCCTTCAGTCTGTGGGCTGGTGCTCTAACCACTGAGAAAACTGGCTAAGGCAAAGCAACAGTTTTTAGACATTAGACAGCAGGCAGCACAGGATCATGATCCCTGAGAGAAGAAAAACAAAAGGAGGTGAGCCTTATCGCTGTCCAGGTTCTCTCTCTGGAAGCAATTTCCAGACTGAGAGTGTAGAGAAGGAGGACCCAAATAGAGCTCGCTGGCTTCAAGGCACAGATCGGTGTTTAAGGCAGCCGGATGTGCCAGAGCAGAGTTCCAGAAAGGAGGGAGCTATGCAGAAAAAGAGCTCCAAAAAAAGGTCTTCGTAAAACTCCCCTCGAGTCTTTCCTGACTCCCCAGCCATGAATGTACACAGTGAAACGCCAAGACTGGGGAAAGCAGGACCAGGAAGCTGTAAGCAGAATAATTCCCAGAACACACAAAGCAAGAGAGATGTTCAGGGTCCAAACAACCGGCAGAGAGTCCTCCTCAGTGATCACCTGGGGCATTCAGTAGACAATAGTGCAGTGAAGGCCCAGGGAGAGGGCAGGAGAGAGGTTGGGGGAGTCAATGGGGGAAAAAGGCGAACATCTGTAATACTTTCAACAACAAAGGGAAATAAAAACAGTAATAAAGGAAAAAGAAGAGATGGGACAGATAGAAACAAACAGCAAGACAGTAAATTTAAACCCAACCATATAATTAAGTGAAATGCAAATGGAGTCAAAAAGGGTAGGATTTCCTTCTTTTTTTACAGCTAAGTAGTATTCCATTATGTAAACGCACCTCACTTTTGGGGGTGGGGTGGGGAGAGCATTATGCTAAGTGAAATGAGACAGAGAAAGACAAGTGCCATATGATTTCACTCACAGATAGAATCTAATGAACAAAATAAAGTAACAAACAAAATAGAAACAGACTCATAGATAGAGAACAGACTGGTAGCAGAGGGCTGGAGGCTGGGCGAAGGGATTAAGCAAAAAAACCAAAAAAACCCCTCATAGGTACAGGCAACAGTATGGTGATTACCAGAGGGAAAAGGGGAGTTGGGGAGTAGAAGCGATAAAGGGGGGATAAATGGTGATTGAAGGAGACTTGACTTGGGGTGGTGAAGACACAATACAGTGTACAGATGATGTGTTGTAGAATCGTGTACCTGAAATCTGTAATATTTTGTTAACCAATATCCCCCCAATAAATTTAATAAAAAGAAAAAAAGTACAAACGGACTACACACTCCAAATAAAAGGCAGATATTATCAGATTGTATTTAAAAAATGAGTCTCAACTATATGCTGTCTACAAGAAATCTTAAATTTATATAAAGACTCTAAATGTAAAGACCTGGGTAGGTTAAAAGTAAAAGGATGGAAAACAATATACTATCACCAACAGGAAGGGTCTAAGTTATCCCCATGTCATAAAAACGAGAGAGAGTGGGAGAATTATGAATGCAGCTCAGAGCTCTGGAGACTGTACTGAAGGGTCCTAGAACTCAGAGCGGGCACAACTGGAGAGGTTAGGTATCAAATCAACAGGTGGCAGAAAACCAATAACCAAACGAACAAAACAAAAATAAATAAAAATGAAAAAAAAATCAACAGGTGGCCAATGCAGGATGACATGCAGATTATAAAAATGCGAATCCTTGGCAGAAGATGTAGACAGACAGAACTATTTGTTAAATCATCAAAAAAAGGTAGGCAAAGGGGAGAGGATGGCTAAATATAGATTTGCTTTTTAGGAGGTGAAAGGCATAAACTGAGATCGGCTTGTAGCTAAAATGGGCACACCTATACTGCAGTGAGTGCTACCCTGGGGTTTGGTCTGGGTCTAGAAAGGTCTGCTTTCTGTTTCTGTAATGTGTGAATTACTGGTAACCAAACTGCATTTCTTTGTTAATCAGAAAGGAATAACAATTTTAAAAGGTGTGGGTAGATTTTGGATAAAAAAGGTGCTCAGATGCAAGAAGACAGGGCTGAGGCCAAGGAGACAACAGGGAACCGCCCTCCAAGCTGGGCAACATCCTGAAGGGCCCACATGGGCAAGGCAGGCACAGACAGGGAAGAGGGGTTGGCAGGAATGTGGATAGTCCCAGAAAACTTAGAGGCAGCACCATGGGGTTGCAACTTCCAGGGCTTGTTTCCCCCCTCCTCCCACACCGTCAGCGCCATGGACAGGTGTGTGCAGGCCTTCCTTGGCCCCAGCATCCACAGAAACCCCCTTCCCATCTCTAACCAGCTGCCCAGCACAGGCGATTCCCTGGTGTGTGAATTAAGCCCCAAGTGCCCAGCAGCCAAACCCTCTGTGTCCCGCTACCACCTGGGCAGGGCCCTCTCTGAGCAGTTGGATTCTTCCTGGTTTACATTTGATGTCTGGTTTGACTTCCAACTCGAAACGAACTGGTCATAGATTACTTATACGATTCATTTATTAAAATGTACTGCCAACTGACATTGAGGTTTTGCTGCCAAGTGTAAGGGCGGTGGGAGAACACCTTGCATTCACCTTCTGAGAAAGATGGCCTGTTACAAACCCTTAAGCCAGAGACCCAAGTAAGCCCTTAACCCCCGACAGGGCCCTGGCTGACCCACCAGACCTATATTCTGCACCCCAAATCTCAGTCATTCCTTCCAGACACTCTGACCTTCATCCTTCCTAGATATGCCAAGGCGATGCCTTTCAGGGCCTCTGGCCATTACACAAGTGGCTTCTTCTAGGAATTCAGACCTCACTCGAGTGTCTTCACTCTCCAGCCCCATCAGGGTATACTAGTAATACTAGTAACACTTTTTACTACCTCAAAATTATCCTCTGAAATTGTTTTTACCTGACTTTCCCCAGAAGAAATGTCACCTCTCACAGGACAGGGGTCTTTTTTTTCTTGGTCACCCCTACCCCCAACATCTGCAGCAGCTGCTGGCCTTGAGTGGGTAGTGATAAACAGAGGGGGAGGGGCACATTAAACAGAGCAAACTGCCATTTACGGGTTTGGAAATGTGGTCCCGTCCCCCAAATTAATTTAATTGTCTAATTGTCACAACCTGTAAGCTATTACGCCTCCATTTTACAGAGAAGGAAGTCATGGATCCAAGAAGTTAAGTAACTTGCCTAAGGTCCAGCACCCAATATTTTAGACTTTTCGAACCACAATAGAGGAGAGAAATAATACCCAACCCTCTATCACCAGAAGTTAGGCAGTCACGGAGAGTCCCTGCAGATGTATCTCTCGCTCTCGCTCTCTCTCTCTCGCTCTCTCTCTCTCTCTCTCTCTCTCACACACACACACATACACACACACACACGCACGCACACACACACGCACACACAGTTCTTCCAAGCCACCCACATTTGAAAAAATCCTCTTGAAGTGTTCCACTTAATGGAGCGGATCCCACCAAAGTGTTTTTATTTATCTGGCCTGATTAACTGTTGAAATCCTGGAGCCACAACTCCCAAGCGAATCGTTGGTTATTCTTTCCCAGGTAGCAACAGGAGTGGTCCTTCTTGTACCAGGCTTGCCCAGGGTCTTCACCCGAGGGCAGTTCACCTCACCGCCCACAGCAATAGAGCGCACAGACACAAAAATCTTTTCGAAGGTGCTCACAAACACGGGAGGGAAAAGGTGAGCCCTGATTTCACAAAAGGAAGCTAAACTCTGCGTAATTAACCAAGTGTGTCGGTAAAAGCTTTCCGAGAAGCAAAGACAGATCGTTACAAGAGATAACACATATTAACCCCTCACTGCAGTTAAAAAATAAAATTATCACCAATCTCAGAGAAAACCTGATCATTAGAAGCCATGTTGCACAATGGCTCCACTTTAAAATGGTGGAACTAATCTGGAAATGCTGGACGCCGTGACCAGAGTAACAAAAACAGGTGTCTGCTGCCTTCTGAAAGTGGACCTTGGGGGACCAAGGTCAAAGCAGTTCCAGGCAGAATATAAAAGCCATTGTCGTGTATCCAATGGATCCAGAGGATGAGGCTGACCTTTAAAAGTAAGCCACTGTGGATAAGCACCCGCCAAACCTCACACAGTGCACTCCTACACCCAGGCGGGAAATGTAACTTCAGAGAAAGATACAGGAAGGCGTATCTCTGCCTCCTAATATAAATCATATTATCTTCCTTTATTAAGTGAGATGTGAAGTGTGGCTAATGACTAGATGCTCTCAGAGACCCAGAGCCCTCAAGTGACTTCAGATTCCACCTTGAACCTAGTCGAGTGCCACGCCACTGCGGCTGTTTCATAAACACAGGGAGATCATGTCCATGCTAACCCGCCGCCTGGCAGTCTGAAAAGCCATGCATTGCAAAGCATGAGAGCTCATTGCGTGAACAAGTGTTCCTGATAGTGCTTTAGATGGCAATGTGAATTTCAACCAACTCATTTAAATAGACTTTTGCGCAGGGAATCAGAAACATTAAGAGAACCAAAATAATCATTTAGCTTTGATCAGAGAGAACAGAAAGAGTTGAATTCAATGGAGACAAAAACCAACCCATAATCACAAAAAGAATTAGGTGTCTTCTGGTCGACTTTGAGCTGAGGACCCCTCCTCTGGATATCTGGCTGCTAATAAAGGTTGATTTGGAGCCTAAAAGATCAGTTTTTGACCAACCACATGGCACAAATAGCCAAGCAACCACCTTGGCACTCGTCAGTCCCTGGGTAGTGGGGGCAGGGGACAAGCAGCAAGGCCACCCAAACTAGATCATTCTGGCAGCTTCTGGAAATTTCCAAGGGGTGCCAGAAACACCTGGATTTCCTGGAGTACCTAGATAAGGACTGCAGCAGAATGTTCACAGGCCCCAGAAGACAATAGGCGGCTCATGATGTTCAGTTTGGTTCTGGGCTGGAGCAAAAATGTCCTGGGGTACCTTTTTGGGTCTTTTTTTCAGCATCTAATTCAGATAGGTGCCTTCAGCTCCTCCCATCCATCTGATCACCTGGATTCCCAATTCTCCTTACTGGGGACCTGTTCTTCCTTGAATTGTATCACTTACACTGAGAGAACTGTGTCTGGGCAAAGATGGTGAGGCGATACTGACATATATGAAAATATAGTCTCTTCCACAACGGAAACAATAGTTCTCACCATCTTGCCTCCCCACCCCACCTGTGGGGTCTTCTAACAGCAAGGCCAGCTTTAAGGCCACCAGATAGGTCTGTCAACACCCAGACTTAACCCAAAGGTACACACATCACGTCTTGGAACGATTCTGAGTGATTAGTCAACCAGATAAATGTCCTACCTGTTGGACCAAAATAATTCAAGGAGACAGAAGCAGACTTGGGAACATGTCTTTTTAGGTCGTGAATGCTCAACCAAAGGACAGGCTGAGACTGAACATACTCTGCAAGATCCCCATCTCTGCCCCCCCTCCCGCCCCCAGCAAGGCCAGGATGCTGAGCCCAGGGCTGGAGCCGGTCTGGCTCTTTACCTGCCTGGCCAGGATGGGACCCCAAAGTCCTCATTTGGGCTCACCCTGTACTGTACAAATGCACCGCTACTAGAAGTGGCAGAATCTTAAAGGGCCAAAAGAGAGGGTGTTTCACCAGGAAAAGTCTGTTTCTCTCAGGATGTTTTTGTCTGTGTGTGTGTGTCTTTTTTGGTGTGTGTGGGTGGGAGGCATCTGTCTCTGTCTTCCTCAGTTTTGCTCTCTCACTCTGCCTGGGCACCTGTCCCTCTCTGTTTAGGTTTCCATTTTCTTTCCCTTCTATAAAAAGCCAGAAGGTAAACCAGAAGGGGAGTTTGTAATGTTTGTTGTACTTGAGGGAAGATTTATGTTCCCATTTCTCCCAGAAGATGCATGCCATTTTAGTAAAAATCAAAATAAACTGTAAGCACAGCTTCATTTAGGTTATACTGCCCTGGATATGAAAGAATCTAAATGAGATCGGGGGATGCTGTGCAAATCCCAAGGGGTCCCTGGGCCATTTGAGGAGCTCAGGTAAGTTAGGGCTAGAGCTGGATTAGTGGGTTAGCACCCTGGCTTGGGTTTTGCTAAGAACTCCAGGGGCAGAGTAGCAGGTGTGGGTGTGGCCAAGGAGTCTGCATTTCTAACCAGCACCGGGCTTGGGATATAGAGCTGCTGCTCCTCCTTAGCACTGGGCCATCTAGATCTGGAGACTACCTCCCCTCTGCTCAGCAGACAGGATTTTGGCCCATGAGCCTCCTAAGTGGAACCCTACAATGTTCTGTCAGACTTCTGGAAGAGAATTCACATTTTCTAGTGATTTTCCAAGGGGTCTCTCACCCAAAGAAGGCTGGAAATCGCTGCTCAATAGGATTCTAAATATAGCTCAGGGACTTTTTTTGGGAATGGACTGGACTGTGCCAAGCACTGTACAAGCTGCTTCTACTTAAAGGCCCAATGGGGGAGGGGGACTGGCAGATCTAGGCATTAGTGCCCAGAGAAGGTACTGTTCTAGCAATCCCATCTGAAATCCTTTGGTAAAGGAAAAATGTCGGGTCTGAGGTTGAAGAAATATTTTACTGACCAAGGAGACTGGAGGGGGCTGGTGGCTGGGCTAGGCAAACGCTGGCTGGAGGGTGTCAGTTGGAACAGGGTGGGACCTCTGGGAAGAGGGCCAGGATTTTGGGGGGGGGTGGTGATTGAAAAGGACCATGAGCTTTGGGCAGCAGGCGAGTGTGTGTGTGGGGGCGGGGGGAAGGATGGAAAAAGACATGTAATTAATCACCCAAATATAGACTAAAGAAGGCAGCAAAGGAGTTTTGGGGGAGGTGGTACTGGAGCAGAAGATGGTGGCCCCTAGAAGGGCAACAGATAAAGCCCTGTTCAGACCAAAGGCCTTGAGCAAGGGCTGCCCCTCCCCCTCCCTCACAGACCTTGGGCTCTAGTCTATCCGCCTCCATCCTCCCTGCCAAGATGAGGCTCGACCCCCACCCAAAAGCAAAGGAGGGACTCCACTAGCAGGAACCTTCCCAGCTCACTTACCAGGTGCCCCGGACTGCAGTTCAGCCCCCGCCCCCTCCCAGACTGGGGAAATGCCCTTTAAAAACCCACCTAACACTCTCCCCCCTCGGCCTCCATTACGTTTGGGGAGGGGGTCAGTTCCTTCCCACAGACCCGTTCCCATGCCTTAACGTCTTCCGAAAAAGCAGCGTAGGCCTCCACACGTCCGCGAATCCCGCCCCTGACCACCGCCCCCTGCCCGCCGTGGGAAGGCCTTCGGCCCTCCTTCTACCGTCCAACCCGGACCCAGTCCCCTCTCCGGCTGGTCCCAAGGCCAAACAGCCTACTGCAGGCCCAAAGACGCCCCCCCACCTCACAAGGCTTGACAGTCCCCTCTAACCTCACTCTCCGAAGCACTCATCCCAAACCCCCACATTTTCCCGGGTCATCCCCCTGCGCATCCTTCCGCGGTCCACAGGATCACCTCAGTCCCGCACATTCACCCGCGGCCCGCGTACTGTCCCGGGCCCCCAGGACATCCTCTCGCGTCCCAAATGATCACCCGTCTCAGCACACCCTTCATTGCTCCGCGCGCATCCTCCC